TTTGCCCCCCTTCCTACCTCCCACACATCCCCTCCCTCCCCAGAGTTTTATGTCTATTGGTTGTACTTATATGCATGTATAAAAGTCCTTCGGTTGATCTATTATCTCCCCCAGATCTTCCTCCCCTCCCCACTGTAATTTGACAGTCTGCTTGTTGATTTACTGTCTCTATATCTATATTTTGGTTCATCAGTTTATAATGTTCTTTATTATCCACAAATGAGTGAGGTCATGTGATGTTTCTCTTTCATTGATTGGCTTATTTCACTCAGCATGATGTTCTCCAATTCCATCCAGGTTGCTGCAAATGATGAGAATTTCTTCTTTTTTATGGCAGCATAGTATTCCATTGTGTAGATGTACCATTGTATTTTGATCCAATCATCTGCTAACGGGCACCTAGGCTGTTTCCAAATTCTGGCTATTGTAGATTGTGCTGCTATGAACATAGGGGTGTATATATCCTTTCTGATTGGTATTTCTAGTTTCTTGGGATATATTCCTAGAAGTGGGATTACTGGGTCAAATGGGAGTTCCATTTTCAGTTTTTTGAGGAAACTCCACACTATTCTCCACAGTGGTTGCACCAGTCTGCATTCCCACCAGCAGTGAAGGAGGGTTCCTTTTTCTACGCAACCTTGCCAACACTTGTTGATTTGTTGATGTTGGCCATTCTGACAGGTGTGAGATGGTACTGCATTGTTGTTTTGATTTGCATCTCTCGGACAATTAGTGACTTTGAGCATGTTTTCATGTGCCTTTTGGCCTTCCTTCTGTCTTCTTTTGAAAATGTTCTATTTAGGTCCATTGCCCATTTCTTAATTGGATCATTCACCTTCCTTTTATTTAGTTGTATCAGCTGTCTGTAAATGTTGGAGATTAAGCCTTTATCAGTGGTATTATTTGCAAATATGTTCTCCCACACCGTGGGCTTTCTTGTTGTTTTGTTGATGGTTTCTTTTGCTGTAAAAAAGCTTTTTATTTTGATGTAGTCCCTTTTGTTTATTTTCTCTTTAGCTTCCATTGCCCTAGGGGCAGTATCAGTGAAGAAGTTCTTTTGGCATACATCTGAGATTTTGCTGCCTGTGGATGCTTCTAGTATTTTTATGGTTTCCCGTCTGATGTTTAAGTCCTGTATCAAAGGTGGGATTTGAACCAGGTGCCTGATCCAGGAAGGCATCACAGAACAGGCAGCGCCCACTGAATCTGATTTAATTCTTTTTATTAAATTGAAGCTGGAGATGACCAAGGAAAAGGGCAACAAGGACTACAGCCCAAGGGAGGAGGGAAAGTGGGAGCCAGGAGGAGGAAGAGAAAGGTGACAGACGTTTTCTGTGAAAGGCTGGCGGGAGGGGGCACACCTTTCGGGCTCTGGCCCACGGATCTCTGTTTCTCCACCACTCCGCAGCTTTGTCGCAGAAATGCAGTCGTGGACAATCCCTAGTGGAGTGGTTAAGGCCATTCCTAAAGAAGTGTTTTATGAAAACAGCTGGTGGGTGTTAGAACTGCCCAAGGAAGAATGCACGAGGCCTGAGGAGTAAAGAATTATGACTTTATTCGGTCCCCTGGAAACCAGATGGGCTGAGCTCCAAATGGCGCCAGCACCCAGAGACTGGGGGTCAGAGGTTTTCAAGGGCTCCAGGCAGGCTTTTTCTGGGCGGAGAACTCTCTAGGCGAGTCCTGAGAGGAAGGAGAATGGTCTTAGCAAGTGGAATGTGGTCTAAGCAAAAGGGAACGTCCATTGTGATGTGACCTAAAGGTCAGTGCCCAGGGGAAGAGGTATCCACTCAATCATTTGATCGGACCTGGCAGGGGGTTTGCTTGGGCCCCTGTGCCATAGTTTGCTGACTCCTGCTCTCAGATCATTTGAATCTTAAGTATGATTATTTCTTCTGGGCTTATTGGGTCAAGACTGGTGTATTTTCTCATGGCCTTGGAAGACTAGAGAGGAAGACCGCTGGATTTCCATGTCTTTTTTGGGTGACCTCTGCTAATATTTTAAACAATTAACTTATTTTAAATATTTGTGGGCTGCATTTCCCAGTCCTTCTAGGCAGAGAACAGTGTGGTCTTGAGACCTGCGACCTGCCTGCCCTTCCTGATAATTCCACTTTGGGTCCCTCTTACGGACACACCCGCTCTGACTGGGAGGGCAGGGGCCTGCTGGCCCAGGGTATCTGTGTGGCCCTGGGCATGAAGCCAGATTGGCACCGGCAGTCTCTCCAAGGGGCACTTTAAGGCTAGTGCAGGAATCGGGAGGAAGAGAGCTGAAAGCTGCTCCGGAGCGGGTGTGAGATGGGGTGGTGGCTGTGGGATCCGCTGGGGAGGGTGGTGGGCTCTCAGGCTGCCTGAGGAGTCTTAGCTGGGGGTCGGGGGATGGTCGGTGAGATCAAAGTGGTGAAGGAGGAGGAGGATTTGGGATCCCCTGAGGGCTCAGTGGAGAAGGAAAAGCTGTGAGGGAGAGCAGCCGTCACAGAGAGAAGGATGTGAGTGTGGAAAAGCCTGGACATACAGGCCCTCAGACCACTTGCCCGCCTGCGGGGACTGTCAAGGTCGGTCGGGTTGGAAGTTGAAAGCGTTACTGAGGCCAGAAGGCCTGTGTGAACTCCAGGGCCTGAGGCTGTCAGGCTGACAGCCCGGGGGTGGCGCGGGGCGGTCGGCTGCCATCCCCATGGCGACTGGCAGTGGCTTAAGGCTGCTTCCCGTGAAGTTACGGCCGAGAAAATGCCTCCCCCTAATGTTCCCCAAAACGGATGGAGCCCCCCTCCACGACAGGTGTCCCGTGAGGAGAGGGGGCGAGGGAACCTGGTCCCCAGGACTTGTCCTGACCAGCGCTGGATTTCCATGAGGCCGGCTGAACAGTATGAGCCCAGAGCCTGGCTCCAAACCCAAATGACAGGTCAATCCCGACAGGAAAGCAGACTGAAGCCACTTACCCGTGACCTTACATGTGTGTCCGGTGCTGATGCGGGAGGAGGCAAGGCAAGGAGAGGCCTACTCTCTAGTCATGGGCAGGACCCAGCCCTCTCCGGAGGGAGGCTGGGGGGCCCGTGTCAGTGTCGTGAGTTCAGCAGAAGTTCAGCAGAGCAGGAGCGTGGCTGGGGCCTTCCCAGGACACAAGGGTAGCTCAGAAGCCGGACGATCATGTCTCTGGGTGCCAAGTGCCAGGTTGCTGGAACCCTGCGATGGCTCTTATCAGCTCTCACTAGGCCCCCCCCCCCCCCCAGGTTTTCCCACCAAATGAAAGGTTCGAGGGGACCGGGGTCGCATTCCTATGACATGAGGCCATCATGTATTAAGAGATTTTATTCCGGGCACCTGAGTACAGGTGGGCTGAGACCGAGAAAGGCATTCTCGAAGAGAGCAGGGAGAGAGGTTTTTATGCATCCTTGCTGGCTGCAAGCCGCTCTGCTGACGTAAGGGTCTGGTCTGTCCTTGGTTCCTCCCATGCCAGGTGTCTCCTGGTTATCTGAGCTATGCTGTGCTCAAGGCCGCAAGCTTTCTGCAAGGTATCTGCGAAGCACAGTAAGTCTTCCTCTGCCCCGTTTTATTCTCTTTGACCCTTCCATTCCCACTGCAAACATCTATGTGTTGGTTTCAGTTCAAGCCTCTGCAAAGTTATTGTTCCAGGATGTGGGTTTGCACCGTGCAGCAGCGAGGGCTACACTGATTATAGAGCAGCAGCCTCCTGTCGCTGCTGGGGGTTGGCTTAAGCTGCCTTCACACTGTTCCTACAATCACACATGCCATCCCTGTCCGTTACAATGCGGTGTCAGGAGGGCCGGGCCTCTGCCTCCACTCCCGGGGGAGCCATGGAGCCTGGCTCCCCTCCACCCAGCTGCACTGATGCTGACCGGCCCTTTCCAAATCTTCATTTCGCGGACTCCCGAGCCCCCGAGTGTCCCCACCTTTGCACACCCTTCAAAACACCAGTCACTGCTGTGCCAGTCAGAGTGGAGCTGAGGGAAGTCTGCTTATCGTTGGCACGTGGGAGAGTTTGAGTGAACTGGGCAGTGCGGGCTGTTCCTTTCCCAGCCGCTCAACGGCGCCAAGTCCCGATCCTCCACAGAAACCTGCCACGTGGTCTGGTTTGCATATTTTTTCTGTAGGCGGTGGAGGCTTAGGTGGGCTTGTCAGGACATCAGGCATCCTGGTCCCTGCCACTTGGCCAAGTGTTCTCCCCACTGTCCCTGCTCAGTCTCCTCCTCTGTGCAGTGGGATTTAATGGTTATGAGTGGGGGAGGGAGGGTAGATTGAGACCATTGAGTGCCTGTGAAGTCCCGCCCAGTGTGCCAGCACAGCGCTGTGGGAACGGGTGGCTCACACGGCGTTGCCAAGTACACGACCCTCAGGGATCATCCTGGCGTCTCCCCCACCTCATCCCTGTTTTCTGAGTATCCACCTCTTTGTCCAGAACCTCCCCAGTCAGTGCAGAGTGAGGTGATCTCACTCCATAAGCCGCTGCCCAGTCACCACACGAGATCCCCAGCTTCTCCACCGGAGCCCATGCCATGCCTGGGCCACGCTCAGCCCCTGGGCCCCCAGAACCATCCCAGCCCAGCCCTGGTCGTGGGAGCTCACAGAGTGGTCCCCTAACTCTGAACTGAACTTGCTCCGGCTCCCAGTAGCCAGCCCTAACCTAGAGCGTCCGGCACTGCCTGTGTCCTTCCCGGCGCCCCTCCCCGCCCTCTGCAGCTTCCTGAGCCCCTCAGAACCTATAGGGCCGCTACCTCCCTCACACTTACAGCTCCTTCCCTGGCCGCGTTCTCTCCCTGCCTCCTCTCCGCTCTCCTGGAGGCCTGTTGCCCTGCCCTGTGGTTCCACTGCAGGGGACATGGGTCTCTCCTGAGTGAAGGTTCTGGGTGAGCGTGCCCATGGCCAGGCCCTGACGTGGAGCCTGACGCCTCCTCTCTTGTACTGCAGTTCACCTTTTCGTCCCGGCCGATGGGCATGAGGGTACTCGGCACTGTACTTGGCCTGGCAGCAGGAGTCGTAGGATCGGCCGAACCATCAGGGACCTCATCGGGACTCTATGGAAATGAGGCAAGCAGGAAAGGCAGTGAGGTCAAGGAATCATCCCAGCAGCAACCAGGTAGTGTGGAGAGGACTTGCTTAGCTGGGGGTGGGGGGGTATATTGATTTCACTCTGTTTTATACTCATTTAGGCTAATGTTTTTAAAAATATGTCTATCAACTTTTTTTTTTTCTTTTTTAGAAACAGAGGACGGGGCAGGGAATAGAGAGACATCAATGGGAGAAAGTCCTCAGTGGCTGCCTCCTGCACGCTTCCTACTGGAGATCGAGCCTCCAGGAATTGACCCAGAGACCCCTTGGTTCATGGGTCAACACTCAACCACTGATCCACACCAGCCAGGCCAGTGAGGCTGATTTCCATGGGGTTATAAAAGCACAGGAAGATTTTATTTGGGGAAATACGGCCTGGTGTGAATGCTATTAAAGACACAGTTGGGCTCTGTCTTGGACTCAATGCTTGTGTCCCCCTCATCCCTCCCCGCTTCCCCCTCCATTCACATTGAGGCCCTAACCCCCAATGTGCTGGCATTTGGAGCTGGGCCTCTGGGAGGTCATTAGGTTCAGAGGAGGTCAGGAGGTGGTGGCGAGGGCCCGGGAGGCTCTCTCTCCATGTGAGGACATAGTGAGAGGGTCGCCACTTGCAAGCCAGGAAGAGGGTTCCACCAGGAACTGCCTCTGCCAGCACCTTTGCTGTGAACTTGTCAGCTTTCAGGCTGTGAGAAATAAGTGCCTGTCCCGGAAGCCCCCCAGCCAGTGGTATGTTGCCATGGCAGCCCTAGCTCACGGACGGGGCTCTTCCCCAGCTGTCTGAGATGTGTCCTGGCCATTCTCTGCTCTCCTCAGGTTTTGTCTTGGAGGGCGGGGTTACATGAGGGCAGGGAGACACACCTGTGAGCGACAAGAGCAGGGCCCATTGGCCTGCCAGGGTCAGGGCTCAGCAGCTGGAATCGTGTTGAGGATTCTCGGCCATGCATATGACGTAGCCCCAGTGGCGAGGCTTCTTTCCTCCTGATATTCTCTACTCCTCTTGGTTCTGGAATAATTCGTATCGTGATCTCCCCACCGTCACTAGTCCCTTGGCACCTCACTCCATGGCTTTTCTTTCTGCATCCGCTCAGCAGCATCTCTCCTCAATGCCTGCAACACTTGGGTTCCCTGTTCAAGATCCTGAGAGAGAATCTGATTGGTTCAGCCTACCCCATCCCAGCTCAGCCTCCTAATGGGCTGCTGTGGAGTCAGGTGAGCACACTGAGCCTATCGGCTCTGACTGATGGGGCCAGTCACATGGTTTGAACCTGACCCTGGAGGCAGAGGCGGTTTCACTTGGAGGGGACTGTGTGTGAGTCAAACTCCATGCTTTGGCACCCCTGGTCCAGGGGCACCCAGGGGAGGGGACAGAGCTGGCACCAACCTTGGGCCCCTCTAGAGCCGCTGGGAGTCTGGGTCTGGTTCCTGGGGAGATTTACTACCTAGAATTAGAGCCTGGAGCTCACATCTCTCATAAGACCCCAATCCCTGGATCCCCATCTCCCACTGCTATTGTCCTGTATGGAGGCTGACATTTCAGCCTGGGAATCTGAGCAAGGCCCTCTTTGGCTGCAAATACAAGTCATTCTCTTTTTTATTCAACCTTCTGATGGCCATGACTTCATCCCAGCCTGGTCTCTATGCACAGAGGGGATCGAGGGCCCCCCAGCTTTCTCACCCACTCCTCCTCTCCTCCCCCCAGACAGACACCTCCTCTGAGGAGCTGCCCTGAAGGCCCAGCCCGGCTCAGCTGCCACGCTCAGGGTCCCCAGCCCCCGGGATGTCACATCTCCCCACGTGATCCTGCTCTGCTGCGGTCCCTGTGCCTGTCGCACCCCCTCTGGGCTTTGAGCTCCATCAGGGGGTCCTGAGTGCTCAGCCCTCCCTCCCTGTACCTCCTGGGTCCTGAGAGGGGCCTGTTTTGGAACAGGAAGGAAGGGCCTGCGGGAGCAGGAGGGCTGGAGGTCCAGGGGCCAGGCGGTCCAGAGTTGGTGTCCATCTTGGGGAGAACAAGAGCATTTCTCATTCAGAAATGAAATGATGAATTAAGGTAAGGCCTGGGCACCGTCCCAGAAGCAGGGCAGTGAGCCAGGGCTTGGTCTGGGGGAGAGAGTGATGCTGGTAGACTGAGCTCAGGAGTATGCAGGTGCCTTCCCAGAATTGCCCTAATTCTCTAAGAGCCCAGTACAGCTGGCTGCTTTTCCCTGCACACCAAGCACTGGGCCGGCCCCTCCTGGGACTCAGTCTGGACTCCAGGGCTAGGGTGCAGGGGAGCTGTCCCCATCTGCCACCAAGAACCAGGCAGACACAGGCCTGGGCAGAAGAAGGAGGAGAGCGGAAGGGCTGAGGAGGCATGAATGCCAGCAGTAGCTGAGGCCCACGGCTAAATGTCCTAAAGGTACAGCCCGAAACTCAGATGGATCTGGACCAAGACGGCCTTGGTGCTGAGGCCGAGGTCTCTGCCTGAAGCCATCACTAAAGCACAGAAAAGGAGGCACATTGATGAGTCCAGAACTGGGGTGAAATGGAAACAAACAATCCTCAGCTATGGCCAAAAGCAGAAGTAGAAAGAGAAGGGAATAGAGGAATCATGGGACAAGTAGAAACCAGCACAGAAAACAACATATTTCTAAATAACCCCGTGGTCAAAAGGAAGCCTGAAAAAAGTGTTACATTGAGGTGAGTGAATAAATATATACAGATAAATAGACGATAGGTAAAAACCCGTGGTGCAGGAACAGCAGCAGTGCGGGGAAAGGTGAATGCCACCCTGAAGAAGAGGAAGTCTCCAGTTAGTATCCCAGCGCCCACCTCCAGAAACAGGAAAGGGAAGGATAAAACCAAGGCAAGCGCAAGGAAGGAAATAACGACGCAAAAACCAGTGAAATGTGAAACACAGAAAGAATAGAGAAAACCCAACAAACAAAAGCTGGATCTTTGAAAACATGGATCATGTCCACAAACTCTTTGGAAGATGACAAAGGAAGAGAGAAGACGCTGGTGACCAGACTGGGAGCGGACGCGGCTGTGACTGCAGGGCCTGCGGCACCGGAGGCGCACGGGGGCTCCTGGGCGGAGCGTGGCACACCTGACATTCTGGGAGAAACGGACCAATTTCTTGAAAAAGCACAAGTACTCACCTCCAAAAGAAACAGAAACCTCCCCTCTCTCCAGGGTGTGTCCGCGCAAAGAAGTGTTCACGCGCTGGTCAAACCCACAGCGGAGGCCTCGAGGGGGACAGGCAGGAAGGTGGGCGAGAGCCAGGCCCACAGGCCAGGCCACCAGGGGGGCAGCTGCGGGAGAGGGAGACCACAGCCTCAGGACCACCTGCCACGTGGAACCTGGGCCCGGGCCTCAGAGGCGGAGTCCACGGCCCAGCAGCTGCAGCCGGCGAGGAGCAGGCAGAGCCGCGTGGGTGCTCGGCCCACACTCACAGCCTCTGGGCTGGCACAGCGAGGCCCTCACCCTGAGCAGGAGGGCTTAGAGGAGGGCAGGGCAGGCAGTGGCCCAGGGCGACACTCCTGAAAGGCAGGTGGGCGCTCTGTGCCTCTTAGATGCCTTTCTGAGAGAGACTCACTGGAAACGGAGGACGCTGCCCGGAGGCCATTCTGCCTTCCTGGCCAGAGAACCCATGGCAGTTGGACCCGTGAGTCCGGAGCCTGCGGGGCCCAGGGAAGCAGGAGCCGGGCTATGGGGGTCATGCTGGGAGAGGGGGCGCCTTCCCGCGCCCCTGCACCCCTGCACACAGTGCTCCCTGATGGAGAGAGGGCTCTGCCACATCCTCTGGCTGCGTCCCCTCCTCTGCAGGGCGGCTCCCCCTCCACTCTCCCTGGTGCCTGAGAGCTGGGTGGCCTCCCTGCGGCCTCCAGCAAAGCTGTGCCTGACAGCGAGGGAGGGGTGAGTGCAGCTCAGGTGCTGGCTGCCTGGCCAATAGCCACCTCCCCTGCCCACTCCACCTCCACGCACATGCAACACACATGTGCACACGTGCACCCTTGTACACGCACACGCAACCACGTCACTTACCTTCTCTGGGGTGTGCACAGCCCTGCCCTTCACTGGGCACCACTGGCCCCTCCACAGGCCCCCTGGGCCCCGAGTGGCTGAGCCCGCCAGGGGAGCCCCTGCCCCGTTGCCCACGATGGGTTTTCATGGAAACAGGATGCAGCCGTGGACGGGGAAGGGTGGGGCAAGGCCCCAGGAGGCTGAGGGAGAGGCTTCCCTGCGCAGAGGAGAGGAGGGACTGAAGAGCACCGCTCACTGCCCTGGGACGGCCGGTGAGGATGTGCCCCTGGAGCCTGCGACCACAGCGACCAGCGCAGCGGACACCCGACCCGCAGGAGGGAAAAGCCTGGGCCCTGGTGCCTCCGGAGCTGCGGGACGGAGCCTGCGCCCTGCCTCCGCCTCCTGCTCCAGGGACAGCGGACGGCCAGGCTGCGGAAGCCGGTCTCTGGGAAGTTCTGTTTCTCCCACCCACATGCACCCCGTGCCAATGAGCCCTGGGATCCCCGGGGTCCGGGCACCCGCCTGCTGAGGCCTTCCTGTGGGGTTCCTCCCCGGAAGCTGCCCGGGGCTCCTGGCCTTCGTGGGCCTGGGGCTGGCAGCTGGGCCTCTCAGGCGCCCCGGCCTGCAGCGGGAGCACGTGGCCAGGGCAGGCCAGGTGTAAGGCTTCCCTCCGACCCCAACTGCTTCCAGGGCTGGCCATTCCATTGAGGTTGGAAATCATGGCCTCTCCATGTAGAGAAATGCTGACAGCCCTTTACGCCATTCAGTATTCAGTCCTTCTGAACAACAAGGGAAAGTATCCACTTGGATACAAAATCAGTTGCACTAGGAGCAGAAAGCCAGACTCTGCCTGGCTAACAAGGGCTTCGGCAAGTCCCAGCTCTCTCCAGAACCGGCTCTACAGGGGAGGGCAGCCCCTGTTATAAATGAGGGCCTCAGGCTGTGTTCCTCAGACTGGTCTGGCTCTCTAGGAAACAAGCAACCACTGAAGCCAGTCCACGTGAAGCAGGTGTAGTTTGAGGACTTCTGCGGAGAGGGAAGGGGATCCTGAGAAAACCCAACATCAGGAACTATCATGAGTCTGGGCCTGCCAGGGCCTAGAGCTGAGAGGTGGCAGGGTCAAGGCAGTTGGGGGGACCAGGACTGCAGGAAAGGACAGTTGGGGGCAACTAGGCCTGCAGGGGAGGACAGTTAGGGGTGACCAAGCCTGCAGGGGAGGGCCATTGGTGGCAACCAGGCTGGCAAGGGAGGACAGTTAGGCATCGATCAGGCTGGCAAGAGAGTGGTTAGGGGCAATCAGGCTGGCAGGCAGAAGTGGTTAGGGGCAATCAGGCAAGCAAGCAGGTGATGGTTGCGAACCAGCCTACTAGAATCAGGCCTAAACAGGTAGTCAAACATCCCTTGTGGGGTC